CCTAAATATCCAAAGCGAAGGTTGTAAAAATTAGCAGGACCCACAGAGCTGCAGGGGACAGCAAGCTCAGGGTTCAACTCAAATGACTGTCTTTCATCTCTCCTTCATTCACCTCTCTTCTATTTCTCCATCCACTTGGCCATCTTAATCTCCCCCTTTTTTGCTCTCTGTCACTCATCGACACAAACATCAACGCCTCGACACCACAACCCACATCTCACTTATCACCCCTCGTTTGTCGCAGTGCTCCTCGCCAACCATCTCCTCTCACCCCGTCTCTTTCTCTCAACATAATGATTCAGTGGCACTTGTCTTTTCACTTCAGCTTCATGCCAAAAAACACAAGCCCACACTGACAGAGGAGACATGGACGGATGTGAAAAGAATTGAGACGTCTTCTTTAATCTTGAATCGCTCCGCTGCCATGAACAGTGTTTTCTGACGCCGTCTGAGCTGAGGTCAGAGATCAGGTGGTGTTACGGTGCCGCTGTGCTCCCCGGGTCAAACAGCCCTCACAGACAGCTGCCGTCCATCCCGCTTTCATGCTTTGACGTATGGATCAGAGCAGCTGAAACGATTTAAAGGGATTACTCCACTGTCTCTCCCAAGCCCACAACACACAGGAAGGCCTTTTCTTCACAATGAGACTTTTAAACTGTTGCCCTCCAGTGTCCGACGCTGTCATTGTTTTGGCCGCAGACAGGCCGACCTCTTGACCCCTGCCCCTGCCCCCGGCACCTGTTGACCCCGTTTACGGGGGGAGGTCAGAGGTCGCCAGCCAGATCCACTCCCAGATGGAGCCCCTTTTAGCAGCAGGGCAGCACCTGTTAAGCGCTCCGACACCGTGCAGCCGCGCTGTCTGGAGGAGGTGGCATCCTCCGTTTTTTTTTTTGACCGACTGCACAGCGTTTGTTGTGCCGTGAAGGAAATGCCCACATTCCAGTCAGTTTGATGTGGATGTGAGTTCAGTCGCTCCGAGAATGTGCACAGTATGAATGATGGCCGGTCACACCTCGCTAATGCTGAACACAATGACAGGACGTCACGCAGTAGTAACTGTCCCCGGGCCCTGTGTGTGTGTGTGTGTGTGTGTGTGTGTGTGTGTGTGTGTGTGTGT